GGAGTGTGACACACACCCCCCACCCCCCTAAGTTTCACTTTCGGTCCCTCCCTCATCCTTATTACAACGTCCATGCAAACATTTAACTTCAACGGCCTTTTGCAGACAGAGACATTGCTTGTCTGAGCCTTCCGTGTGCTTCAGTTAGAGTTTTATTCCAGGTTTGGAAAAAACCTCTTAAAGTGCCCAGCCTCGCTCAGCACGTGCCATGAGCTGAAATGAGGTGGTGGAGTGAGGTCCAGTTTGGAATGCTGGTGAAGGGACCCCAAACCAAGGAGAAAAAGATGCTCTGCCAGGACTTTCCTAGTATAAAAAGCATACAAATGTTAAATTACGCAAATTGTCAGATGAATGTAAATATTGTACAACTGTTATGGGAGGATTGATTAATAGCTTGTGGTCAGGCACCGCGTTTTGTTGTTTTCACCGCCGTTGAGTTGATTTCAACTCATAGGGAACCTAGAGGACAAAGTGTAACTGCCCCTGTGGGTTCTCAAGATCAGAAAGCGTTAAAGGAGTAGAAAACCCTTTGTTGCCAATGAGTGGCTGGTGCTTTAAAACTGCTCACCTTCTGGCCAGCAGGGAAATGCAAAACCCACTATCACCGGGCTTCTTGTTTGATGCTCTTAAATGCCTCTGACTCATAGAAACATCACGTTCAAAAGAACAAAACAGGGCCAGTCCAGGTCAGCACATGTCTGTTGTGTTGAAGCCATTGTTGCAGCCACAGGTCTGACTTAAATGAGTGCTTTATGACCCCGGGGCTGATCCTCCCCCACTGTATCTGACAACCCTTCTCTTGCCAGTCCCCAGGTTTTCAGTATATCGGACAATGTTCCACTTAGACTCATGAGGTTTGTAGTGATAGATAGCCTATTCCTTCTTTATCGTTGGAAACTGCTGAAACGTAAGCACCTTGGGTGACTCTGCTGGTATTTGAAATACTGGTGATACAGCTTCTAGCAACATAGCAACCGGCAAGCCACCCCAGTATGACAAATTGACAGACAAGTGGTGAGTGGGCAGGTATGACTCTATGAGATACTATGTAGTCAGATATCCCTTAATGTTAACAGTGTGTTCTGTTTTGTTACATAGGATGTTCTGTGATTTGGATGTTGGACAAACACCCTTTAAAAACACCCTGTTATAAACAGGCAGTCCTAGGTTAGGAATGGGTCCAGTTCACCAGCTGCTCTGCGGGAGAAAGACGAGGCTGTCTCTTTCTGTAAAGATTTAAAGTCTTGGAAATCCAAAGGGGCAGTTCTACTCTGTCCTGTAGAGTCACTACGAGTTGGGATTGACTTGATGGCAGTGAATTTCTTTTTTTGGTTTTGAGTGGGTAAGTCAGTATTATGTTACTGTAAGTCAGCATTAAGTATGAAAAGTATGAATGGTATCCAATGTCAGTAAGACTTTGCCTTAGTATATAGTGTACTTTCTATGCATAGAACTAAATAAACACTTTCAGATATACAAAAATCATCCTTAACCTAATAATACAGTGGTAATACTGTATGTACTCGAGTATAAGCTGATGTGAATATCAGCCGAGGCACCTAATTTTGTTATGAAAACTGCATTAAAAATGTGCTGAAAAACTCGGCTTATACACAAGTACATACAGTAATTATAATGCTTTAATGCAGGGGTGTCAAAGCCTGTGGGCCGCATGCGGTCCCTGAGGTAGTTTTTTGTGGCCCGTGATGCTCTGAAATAAAATGAAAATAGAAAAAAATGTTATAAATAGAGCTTAGGGGCGATTGAGGCAATGCCACTGTACACACAATTCCCTCGTTAGCCCTTTAACTACTGAAGACGGGAGACTTTCCTGGGGGCCTGTGGATGTGTATAAATGTGCTGACTCAGTTCCAGTGACGTTTGGAAGCGATACGTCTGCCACTCTCAGTGTCACGTAATGTAAGCAGATCCCAATAGCGAAAAGGTTAAAAAGAGCATTCTGGGTTGTGCTGTGATGAATCATACCTAGTGGCAGCGCTAGTTAACATTTTTAGAAGGAAGCCGTTACGATTGTGCATCACATTTGTCAGCTGTCCAACATTTTGTGTTTTTTATTAGTTACTTTGCTATATTTTCTGGTCATAATATAAGAGATAAGTGAAAACTAGTAGGAGGAAAGAGCTAGCAAGTTTTGGGTAAAAAAAGAATAATTTTAGTTTTATAAAGACATTAAATAAAATAAATGTTTAAATAAAAGCAATTATATAGTATTTTAATTATCCTATCCATATTCCTGAATCGTCACTTCAAAATAGAAATTTAACAAAATTTGTAAATATGATGTGGCCCATGTGAATCTTACCTGTTGCACCAAATGACCCGCATTTTTATTGAGTTTGACATCCCTGCTTTGATGCATGTTTTAATATAGTGCCTGTTGGTTATTATGACTTGATGGTACCTAACAAAAGACTACAATTATTAGGCTGCCAGTCACTGTACCCTATGGCCAGATCATTTATAATAGCCATGAGTCTGCAAAGATGTAGCAGGTGAATGTGGCTGGGGTGGCCTGCCTCGCCATCCCCACTGCATGGGTTTTAGTCCATTGAGCAGAACGTCCTTGTCTGCGCTCAGTTATCTGGTGCAGATGATTGCAGCAGCCCACCCTTCTTGCGTTTTGCACATACACTTATAAATCAAATCATGCCATTAACTGGTACCTTGTTGAACTGGGGTCCCTACTTAGGCAAAAAATGGGCACGATCATCCCCTATAGGTCAAAGTGGCTGCTTTGTGTGGGGCTGACTGAACCCCTGGGGTCCTGGCCAGGCTTGGCCTGGAATGTTTCATTTTAAATTAATAATGGTAGCAATGATGAAACATACAACTTTCCTCTAGTTCCTAAATGCTCCTCCCCCCACTATCACGATCCCAATTCTTCCTTACAAATGGGGCTAGACGAGGGTATGCACTGGTGTACAGATGAGAGCGGGAAACACAGGGAATCCAGCAGATAATCCCTTTAGGACAAGTGGTGTGAGTGG